GGGCCTGTCAGCAAATCGAGGGGGGACCCTTCCATGAGTTGCTGACAAACCGTTTGATGTTGGCGAACTCCTGCAACGGGGAGAGAAGGCGACCGTTGGGATTGCGGAAGCGGACCTGAACAGGTTTCTGCTTGGGGGTGAGTTTGCGAACAATTTGGTGAAGTGCAAACATTGTTCTGATGATTCGCCGCATCCCTAGCTTCTGCAATCAGGGCCTCAAAACGATTACGACGGACATCTTTGGCAAGCACGGCTTGTGTCCTCTGGAGCATTGCACGCTGAGTGGCGAGACGCCAGCCATGAAAAATACGTGTAAGTGCAAAATCATGACGTGATAACATACGTAGCTCCTGAAACAATTGCCACTTAATTCTGGCAAGACCGGCAGCAAAGGATGTATCCTGGGAGACCTTGGTGGAGGAAAACATGGACCTGAATTGACACATGAGGTGTCTGAGCAGCGGACTGAAATTTGCATCAATCGGCCAATGAATGTCGATGATCTGGTGGTTGCCCTCAACAAACGAATCCCACGGAACAGGATTGGTGTACATGGTGATCCTACACTTGGTCCTGTGCTCGAAAGTGATTCGATTTAAAGCTGGGGAGTTAGCCGGTTGCCAAGTCTGGGCCGTGGCGAGCGAAAGGGATTGGCAGGAGAAGGGCATTGCAACTGCTGACATGTCATGAGCTTACCTTTATACTTTATACCAGGTGTGGCAATGAAGACTGGCTCGAACGCAAGCTCTTTTATAACTTCTCTTAAGGTTGGCTTGGGTGCCTCGAGAGGCTCTATGTGGCATGGGGCCAGCATGATTCGTCGAGGGGTGAGAGTTCCTATGGAAACCGTGTTCCTCGACTTCAGGAGGCCATCTGGCCGACCTCCAACCCTCACCTCTATTGTAACTCAAAGAAATGAAAGCACTGGCGAATACACAATGTCTACTACAATGTCTAAACGAGTTCGGTCTGTGGACTTGGGACCGCAGACCAGCCGGGAATGGATGCAATCACAAGATGCTGGAAGTGGATGAAGCTCAAAGCTAGGCGCTGAAAGCGCAGCATGGAGCCAGTCGCAGCTCAGCTCTCATGAGGGGCCATGGAACAGGCGCCCGGCGCCCCGTGCACCATTCTATTCAGTGCTTGGCTGGCAGAGGCTTAACAACAACAACAACAACAACAACAGCAGCAACAACAACAACAACAACAACAAGAGCAAGAGCAAGAACAAGAACAAGAGCAAGAACAAAAGCAACAACAAGAATGACAACCCTCCCAACAACAAATTCGACAACAACAACAGCAACCACAACAACTATATATATAACTTAAAACCACAGCAACAACAACAACCACAACCACAACTGCAACAACCACCACCACCACCACCACCGCAGCAGCAACAACAACAACAACCACAGCAACGGCCACAGCCACAGCCACAACAACAGCAACGCAACAACGACCACACCCACCACAACCTCTACAACAACAACGACAACATCGCAACCTCTGCTGCTTGGGGCCTGCTGGCCCGCTGGCGTGCGTCAGCTTCTCTATAAAACAAAAACCACCTCTTGGGCCACATGTGCCAAATATTTTTTATACGATCAATTTCAACCTTCATATGTCCCCACACTTCGCTATAGAATCAAAACCCACCTTGGCTATGCATCATTAATTGTCCCATTTTTTGCCATCAACTTTTCATGATGATGAACACCCATACCCTAAGGCAGCCTAAGGCAGCTGATTCTACAGAGAACCGGTTTCCAGCACTGCAGGATGTTGATATTTGATTCTATAGTGGGGCAAACTGCCCTCGCAGCTTGGTTTTCGTTTTATAAGTATAGAATCAAATCTCCAGGCACACCGGTAATTCCACAGGCGATTGTTAGGATGAACAGCATTTCTTGCATCGTGCTATGTTCGTGCGTTCTGGTGTTGTGTCCGTTCGTCGCCCTGGTAACCCGTATTTTGGGGGGCTATTTATGGGGATGGGGACATGAAGGTTGAAATTGATTTTACCAAAAAAAAACTTTGGATGAAAGTGGCTGGTATTGATTTGTAGACCCGACCTCACAGCACACCATCCATTCTAAAGTCCATTCTCAACCTTCTAGTGCTCAAAATGCCTTCAATACCATAGAATGAAATATCAGCCTACCTGACCTGACAACACACCATCCACTGTAAAATCAATTTGCAACCTTCTACTACTCCAGATGCTTTCTATAGAATCAAATGTTAGGACCTTTATAAAGTCTGGTGACATGGCGTGCCCTCTCTATAGAATCAAGTGCTGGCATCCAGTTACGATGGCGCCATCCAGATTTGCCTTTGGACAACAAGGATTATGGCATAACTTGGTAGGAGATGGTTGTACATTTTACCTTGTTCGCAGGACGGTGTATGCCAAATCCAAGATCATCAACCAGCACATCCATTTGATTTCTTCTCGCCTGAAGTCTCCATCCAAAAACCCGAAGTAAAAAGTTTGTGGCACCAAGCCACTAATTTCCGTAATGTTGTTCAATACTTACAAAGTACATCCGGCTTGCGACTGTACCCACGCTACAAAAACAGGTGCGTCCACCATGGTCCGTCTGGGATATCATCGTAGCTTAATTGGGGGGATGGCTTCGAGACCTACCTTGAAGCTACTGATTGAATACTCTCAATCCAGTGGGCACCCGTACCCCCTCAGTGTTCGTGTGGCCTTTTGTGCCTAATCTTGATTGTGCTATAGTTGCACAGCCCTTGCCGAATGAATTGCCTTTCGTGAAACGCCATAATCTTTACCAACGAGTTAAGAAATGCCTGCGCAATAAGGTTTCGCTTGATAACATTCTGCTGGATTCATGAATTAGTAATTTAGACGTGTGCCGGGATAGCCTGGTCGTCTTTTGATTCACCTGTGTTTGACCTGGGGATATCCGGTTAAACTTGTGGGGTGGTTGGCATGTTTTGTTACACGCAGTGGATGTATAGTCTGCTATGGGGAAGGACTGTGGAGGCACGTGTGGATTTGGGCAAGTTGTGTGAGAGAACAAACGGACTTTTTTGGACCTCATGTTTTAAATGTTGTGGTTTTTCAGATAGGTTCATGTGTGATTCTATAAGAGAATATAAAATCTGAGGGTCATTGTGAGCTCAAGCTCCCAGATTCTACAGAGGATATTCGGCAGAGGATCGGTAACTTATATTCTTGAGGTGTTACCGGGGCGGGGCCGGGTAGGTGGTGGAACGCGTGAGCCACTCCAACTGGAGAAGGCACTCCAGCAAATGATGCAGGTGGGAGTGGGTGCCAAAATCGGTCAAGTTTATTGAGTGATCCAACCCAACCCAAAGATAATCGGACCAAATGACTACTACCAGGCATGTTCTATTATACGTAATATGTATCTTCCATGTTGAAAGCAGTGATCTTAGGTGAATCATATAGGACTACGTGCTGCAATACCCGTCATCTTTCATCTTTTGCACCACGAAGCCAACAAAAATCATTTTCTTGGTAATTCAAAAATACCATCAGGCTAACGGTTTACATAACTTGTCCCCCGTCTCCCCCCACACCCCCTAATTACAAACTTCGTTCGCAGCACTAACTTTAGCCTAGCTTATCAGTGATTTGAGAATTTCAAGACATGTGTATACATTACCGTCCATAAAGCATGATGCAATTGCACCAGCATGAAGCCCGGAAAGACCACAGCACTGACAAGACTTCGGATAGGTAGCTTCTGCATGCTTCTGCATCCCCAGCGTGAAACGACCACGGTGTTTGGTGTCCCCTTGCTTTCTTCAGGATTTCCGGCTCCACAATCAATCCCTTCACATGACAAGCAGCTTGCCTCATCCACTGATCTGTCGCTTGCCACATTCCCAAGAAATCTCATTACTACCTCATACGTCTTAATTTCCAAACTTCCTTTGATAGGCGCATAGCTGGCTACGAGGCATTGCCCAAGTCTGAGCCAGCCTTTCCATCACAGCATGCAAAGAAATCACCTTTATCGGGCTCACTCCCCATCCTCACATCCTGCGTTCAATGTGGTTTGCGAGCAAATCAGCGCTCGAGACTGCTCATGTGCTAGTGCGACAACGCCGATTTCAAGCAACACAGTGGCCCTTTTACGGCCATGACGGGAGCTATGCAAGCTACTAGGAGGCTACTAGTAGCTAGCAATGCTAGTGCTACAAACACTACCAGGTGCCAGGACGCAAAAAGCTCAGGGTTCAACGAACCGTCAATGTCTTTCGTTTCTTGTAGCTTTATAACACCGAAATTTAGGGCATGTTACTGTGACGACTCGGACGAGCTGAAACATGGAAAGGCTCGAGCACACATTCGATACGATACGACTGATGCAAACTTGAGAGGAGGGAGACACGAAAGGTAGGACAGCGGGAAGAGAAGAGAACGCGAGAGGCAGGAGCAAAAATGCAATGTTCGACATGGTGATTTATCCCCTCGGAGGCGACCGTTCGTAAATATATGTTCATATGCACTCTAAATGTTCAAACATACGCTCTCGAAATGTTCAAAAAGATTCTTAGGAAAACAAACTTGCCCCATGGCTCAGATCATCGGTGAGCATTGAATCGGAACACCATAGGATTTGAACTATCATCCTGAAACCATAAAAGGCTCACAAAGACGCTCCCCAGGATGTTCAAGAGGGTCAACTATCCTGAAATCATGAGAAGAGGCTCACGAAGACGTTCTCCAGGAGAGAATTGATTTTAGAGGGGGGGAGGGGCGGGGTCTGTATTGAAAAATCAATTCGAGGGGGGGGGGTCTGAATTGAGCGATCAATTATTAGACCCGGACGTCCCAACACTTGCTTCGCAAGACAAACTCAAGGTATCCCCTAAAGGGCTACCTTTCGTGAAAAAACATATATATCAAAATATTCCCCGCCCTTACCAGATTAACACAAAGCCACAACCTATGAAATTGATGTTGGGCTCGTCGGCTCGTTCCACTTCCAAGCTGCTCCCAGCATCATCTTCAAGCCCACAAAAGCCAGGACAGCAGCCAAACCAACCTTCAAGTTCTGAACCTTATCCAGCGCCTCTGCCAACAACAAATACAAAGATCTGAGGCCAAGCACTGCAAACATGTTGGAGCTGAAAACGAGGAACAAATCATGCGTGATTCCAAGGATGCACGGGATGGAGTCCACAGCAAAAATCAAATCACTCAACTCAACCACAACCAAAGCAGCCAGCATGGGAGTCGCGTATGCTTTCCCATCCATATACTCAATGAATTGGTGGCCCTTGGCATCTGCATGGTACGGTATGAACGAGGTCATCGCTCGCATCATCCATGAGCTGCCCGATGTGTGGGTTTCCAGGCCGATCTCTTCTTCATCGTCTTCGCTGTACATTTTCCAAGCGGACCACAAAAGCAGGCCCCCAAAAATGTAGATCATGCTGTGCATGTGCTCCAGGAGCCAAACTCCAGCCAGGACAAAAACCAATCGAAAAACCACCGCTCCAAGAATTCCCCATTTCAGAACTGGGCCCTGGTTTTGGGCTTTGATGCGAAAGCTTCGGAAAATAAGTGCAATAACGACCAAGTTGTCCACGCTAAGGCTTTCCTCGACTAAGTAGCCAGTAAGAAAAAGGATGCCTGCTTCTGCACCTTTGGTCACACAAATCAGTAGGGCAAATGAAAGTGCTAGGCCTATCCACCCCGCACTTGCAAAGATCGCTCCTCGAACTGATTGCCCGCAGGACGCAAAATGAGCCCCACAAATCTGATCCACAATCAATCCTGCAACGACAACCAGGCTAAACAAAAGCCACATGCCATGGCCCCCAATACTTTCAGCTTGAGCGTCTTTCAATAGCGCATTGCTTTCGGCATTTTGGCTTTCAGCTTTCAGGTTGTCAGCCTCTGTTCTATTGTCGGCCAGGAGCACTTGGCCTTCTGCAATGCAAAGAGGCACTAGTAGGGACAATAGGCACAGCTGGCACAGCCAAATCATGTGCATTGAGACACTGTAGATGTGAGAGGCAGGGCTTTGTGGCACAGGTGGGCATTGCCCTCTTTGCCCCGTCCATCTCACCTAACCTAACTCTTTTCTTGGCATTGGCCCAAGTCAGCGGCGGTATATATATAGTTATGTTGGACTTCAAGTATCGGCAATTCGATGCACAAGTGGTTGTGACATTACATGACTCATGACAGTGTCACAAGTGGGAAAACAGCGAATTGGAAGGGGTCGCAGGCACAGTGTCCGGGATACAGTTATCTCTCTCAAGGGCGTGAGAAAGAAAGAGCGACAACGAATCATTTTTTTTGATCGGTGCTGGCTTGTCATCAAGCATCTGACCTAAAAATACCTAAACAGGAGAGAGCATGTGCCTTCGGTGGCCTTTATCATTGTGGCAGGTAATGGTATAAGGATGTATAAGGGCTTCGCATATTGAATCCATATCTGCCTTACAACATTGCTGTTTCTCAATGTTTTACAATCTTTAGTTCTTGCGTGTTCTTGCCAAATCGAACCAGTCTGGCCTCTCAAGCACAACATAGCACAACAATGCTCCTTCCGATGTTTGAAAATTTGTTGTCATTCTCCATTGTCATTTTTGCTGGAGTGCAAGCATGCTTGAACTTGGCAGCCATTTGCAGTCTGCATTTTCTCCGTGATGCTGTGCTGGTTTGGCGTAGTTGCCGGGGTTACGGGGTTAATCCGAGGCACCCGCGCGGTAAAAACGGTAAAGATTGAAATTTATATTTTTTTACCGTTTTTAACGGGGGGCGCCCCCTCTTTTCTCTACCATATCCGCGGTAAAAACGGTAATTTCTATTTTTTACATTTTTTACCGGGGGGGGCGCCCCTTTTTCTCTTCCATATCCGCGGTAAAAAACGGTAAAAAAACAAAATTCCGTTTTTTACCGGGGGGAGCGCCCCTTTTTCTCTACCATATCGGCGGTAAAAACGGTAAAAATCGGACCTGGATTCTTTCTTTTTTTACCGTTTTTACCGGGGGGGTGGCCTCTTTTCTCTACCGTATCCGCGGTAAAAACGGTAAAATTGATTGTGTTTTTACATTTTTTTACCGGAGGGGGGCGCCCCTTTTTCTCTACCATATCCGCGGTAAAAACGGTAAAAATCGATCTTTTTTTTACCGTTACTACCGGGGGGGGGGGTTCTCTACCGTATCCGCGGTACGGTAAAAATCGTTGTTTTTAACCGTTTTACCGGGGGGGGGCGCCCCTTTTTCTCTACCGTATCCGCGGTAAAACCGGTAAAAAACGATTTTTTATTTTTTTACCGTTTTTACCAAGGGGGCGCCCCATTTTCTCTACCATATCCGCGGTAAACACGGTAAAAATCATGTTTTTCTTGTTTTACCGTTTTTACCGGGGGGGCGCCCCTTTTTTCTCTACCATATCCGCGGTAAAAACGGTAAAAATCGTTTTTTTTTTGCCGTTTTTACCGGGGGGCGCCCCTTTTTTCTCTACCATATCCGTGGTAAAAATGGTAAAAATCGAAAAATTTATTGTTTTACCGTTTTTCCTGCGGGGTCGCGAAAGTATACCCCTTAGCAAAGCAACGCTCGCGAACCGGCTTAGGTGACTTCTTACATCATGCTCTGCAACGATTGCCCGCTGGTTCCAGGCTTGCGTGATGGCTTCTAGTGCAAAGTTTGGAGAACGCTTTGCACCCACTGCAGCTGGATGTGTTTGGGACAAGAACCGGTTGGAGAGCCTCCAGATGTTGCAAAGCGACTGCACACCACGTAGAAGCAACAGCAGCATTAGATTGTATTGAATTTTGTTTGAATGTGACTGAAAGGAGGGCCTCTCTGTGCTTAAAAAATTCTCAAAGTGCGATGATGTTCCAGCATGTGCTTTTGCTCAAAGCCGACTGGTACGTTACGTACAGCTACAGTCAAAGCAAACTTCTATGAAAGTTTTCAAATTTTCTTTGGAAACATTGCACATTGCAGAAACTTTACAGCAACTGGCAAAGCACATGCGGCAAATACCATGGCGTTGGACTGTGAGTGAGGTCCAACTTTTGGGGACCGCAAGGCAAAAGCTTAGCTAAAGGAAACGACTCCTGCAAGTTGGAAGCCGATTATCTGGGAAAGAATTTCCCCTCCTCTTGCGGTTGCGTCATTTCACTGAAGAATTGCAATTCCAAACGCAGTGTCTTCCAAACCTCTTGCAATCATCAAGGTGTGTGATTTACGACTGCACTTTTTCTCTGGCCGCTATGGCCGACAAGTTGTTGGATGTAGTTCTCATTGGGACTGATCAATACCTGACAAAGTTCAAGACTTTGAAGTGCAAGCGGCAAGAGGTTCGTCACGCTTGACTTTGCCAACCTTTACCCACCAGATCACCCGTATTTTGGCAGCATGCGCAACCCCACTTCCATGTTTGCATGTTTGATGCTTTTGGGGCTGGTCTTTCACGGTGGTGTTGCACTTGTGGAAACTTGAGGCATAGCTTTTTCCAGCGGCTTGCAGTTGAAGCAGAGCTTGACAAATCCAGTCGTTGGTCCAAAAATAACGCTAGAGCCCTACCTCAGAATAGCGTTCTACCAGCTGCTTTCCCACTGAAACTTTCCCTGGCGCGCGGAGCTTCCAGGTCACAAAACATACCTCAAGAAATCACACACTTAGGCTGAAAAAGGCCTTGCGATGCACTGCAGCTTCTTGCAGAATGTCCTCCCTGACTTTGATATTTTCGGACAGTTGAGTCAGTTGAGTTGAAGACACTCTGCTTTGATGGTGGTGCACCATAGTTGGGCAAAATAGGCCACAGGAGTGGTAGAGGGCGGAGACGGAGACATATATACTTCGAGGGGTGCAACTGCTGAACTTGGAAGACGGTCCATTTTTCGGTTTGGAAATTCGCGCCGTCGGGCGCCGTCGGTGCCCGTCCGTGGGGCAGTACATGTTGCTCAAGCACTCGTCCCCAATATTTATATATTATATAGACACTCCCGACTGCCATGTCTGACGCAGCCGCTGATGAAGAAGCAACAGCAGCAGCAGCTCCGGCTGCGAGGCGCCCCGCCATCATATATCTGTTGGTTCGCACCGCCGGCACGCACATAGTACGCTGATCATGTTTGGGAGCGCCCACAAGCAACGTGATTTTGTTTGGGCCGCATCTGGACATTAATGTTTATCATTTTTGGAAAGGCTATACTTGGCACCAGACTGGTTCAGACCTCCAACCACTTCCTGATGAATTTAAGTCGTGAGGCACCCAGCCGCCGATCGGCTGGTTTCGCTCAAAACACAGCGGCAGAACCTGAAGCGGCAGCTCCAGCAAGCGAACCGTGAGGTTCGCAATGAGGCGACCGGCGCATGATCCACATGTAATTGTTGAAATTTGATGCAGTATTGTGTTGCTTGTGCTTCCGACTTGCGCGCGGCGCGACTCATTCTGGCGCACATGCAGGAGAAAAAGCGACAGAGACTCATGCGGCGCGCTGGCAAGTTGAGCTCTGCTGATCTCACCTGGCTGCTGGCGCGTCGAGTGCAATCTGAGCAGTCTGAGCAGATGTCCACATAGCTATATTGCAGGGCACATTGGCAGTGTTTGGGGAAAGAGAGACTTGCGCCCATGTGCTAGCTTTTGTTGACAGCTAAGCTGACAACTGCTGAGCGGGGGCTGTCAGAGCAACCTTGCTGAAGTGGCCGTGCTCGCAGAAGCCGGCGCAAGCGATAAATATGTCACCTGTCACCCACGCGCTAGCTTTTTGTTTACAGCTAAGCTGACAACTGCTGAGCGAGGGCTGTAAGAGCAACCTTGCCGAACTGGCCGTGCTCGCAAAAGCTGGCGTATGCTGGGCTAGAGTCCCTCACATCTCTCCCTCTCTCTCTGTCTAGGCTTGCTAGTCCAGGTTTGTCGTGCCCGCAGTACCCTGCAGCAGCTGAGGCAGATAATATGAGCTCCTCAAAGAGATAGTGAGATGTTTGATGTTGACATACTATTACCGTGTAATATGATGCGTCAACTACAGGGTTGGCCCAATAAAGAAACATGTGACGCAAATTGTTTGGTTGCGTGCGGTTGCCCTTGCCTTGTTACCGGGGTTTATGTTTTGGACCACCTCCAGAAGCAGTTTTCGGAAACCCTTCGGTCATTCTTGCTCTGGATTGCAGCCAGGAAGCGGAACAACTTTGAAAGGAAAAACGGTATCACAGAAATTAAAGACAAGCAAACCACAAGATGATAGCAAAACCACAATCTGACCCTGCCAAGACTGTGGACTTTGTTGCTCCTAGTGCTTTCAAGGACCCTTCTCAACATTCTGTTTTGTTACACTTTTCGAGCAAATGACCTTGCTCAACGTTTGCTTCGGTTGCTAATGGCAACGTTATGTTGCGTTGTGGATGTAGCGCTTTTCAATTGTTGGTTTCGCCGCTCCATGTCATTCGGTGGCTGATGCGCCAGCGGCTGATGCGCGGCGCCTTCTTCGACTTCGAGCTCTTCATCCGCGGTCAGGTGGCCGCTCGGCCTGTGGGGTGACGCGGGCTCCTGGCCTTACTACTAGGAGCACGGACGCTACTAGGGGCTCCTGGCCTTATTACTAGGAGCAAGGACGCTACTAGGGACTCTTGGCCTTACTTTCAGGACGCTAGTAGGGGGCTCCTGGCCTTGTTACTAGGAGCAAGGACTCCTGGCCTTGCTACTGGCCTTCTTAGGGGCTCCTGGCCACATTGCGAGGAGCGAGGACGCTACTCGGCGCTCCTGAGCTTACTACTGTGTCGCGCGCTCGTCGGTTTGCAGGTGCCTTCTTCGACTTCAAGCTCTTCATCCGTGGTCGTGTCAACCAGCCCAGGTGGCCGCTCGGCCTGTTGGGTGACGCGGGCTCCTGGCCTTATACTAGGAGCAAGGACGCTAGTAGGGGCTCCTGGCCTTACTCTGGTCTTATTACTAGTTACTAGGAGCAAGGACGCTACTAGGGGCTCCTGGCCTTACTACTAGGAGCAAGGACGCCACTAGGCACATGACTAG